CACACACACACACACACACACACACACACACACACACACACACACACTTTGTTATCTGGCTACCTTGCTACCCATGACATGTCCCAACTCCTCGCTTTTTCCATGGCTGTCCCTCACACCTGGAATGCCGACCTACCTCACTTCTGCCTCCTGACTTCCCTGGTCTCCTTCTAGACTCAATTCAAATCCCACCTTCTGCAAGCAGCTTTTCCCAATCCCCCTAATGCTAAGTCCTTCCCTCCAGGATTGCCCCCATTCATCTCGTCTCTACATCTTGTCTGTATGTACTTATTTGCATGCTGTGCCCCTCATTCAATCGTGAGCTCCTTGGGGGTAGAGGCTGGTTTTTGCCTTTCTTTCCCCAAAACCAGCATATAATGCTCCTGACACATAATAGACGTCGAATCAATGCTTGCTGAATTGAAGTGAATTAAACTAGTCTGTGAGCTCCTGGAAGACAGGACCAGATTCTTCCCTTGCCCCCTCCCCCACTCTCCAGGCCCCCACCAGTGTCTGGCACGATCCTAGGCACCCAGCAGGTGTTCAGTAAAGAAATGTTGGGTAGGTGACATTGGATGGGTGGAGGCAGGGAGGCCAAGAGGATTCCCCAACCCCAGAGTCTTGGGGCACACTCACAGAGAACCGTAAGGGCAGCAGGAGGTGAGGTCCGGCTGCTGCCCAGGCTGTCCTGGGCCCGGCAGTGGTAGGAACCTGCATTGGCACTGAGCACCTTGGGAAAGGTGAGGAAGCTCAGAGGTCCATCCTTCAGCCACTCTCCATTTCGGTACCAGGTGTAGAGGGCATAGGGCTGGTCACCCTGGGCAGCCACACAGTTCAGCGTCACTTCCTCGCCCTCTACCACCTCGGCAGTGGGATCGATTCCAACCCAGGCTGCTATGGAGAATGAAGGGGGAAGGGTCAGGGACCGTGTCAATCAGCTCATGAAAATCCCAACCTGCTGCCTCTGAGACTCTACCCAGGCCTGGAATACACTTCAGGCCACCTTGACCTTAACTCCAAGAAGTCTTCTGGGATTTCTCCTCTCCCCATCTTTTTTTTTTAGTTTAAATGAACTTTCCTTTCCTCTCTGGACACTTTTTTTGAGTTCCCAATAGAGGCCAGGCCTTAATGCTTAATCCAAGTTGTAGGGTTCACTCAGTATATACAAGAAGAGCTTCATCTAGGAAGGTCTTTGAGATTCTCAGAAGACAGTCCAGAGTGAATGTCCCCTGCAACATTTCTGAGACCCTTCCCATGACTGCCCCACCACCACCCCAGCCTCAATGCCACCCTTACTGTTAGCCTTGAGGTCATGGTTGGAGGTGGCCTTCCCGAGGGCATTTGTGGCCTCACACTGGTAATCCCCACCATCATCAGCTTCCAATCCTTGAATAGTCAAACGCAGGGAGTTGTGGCCACTGGAGACACTGAAGCGTTGACTGGGTGCATCCTGGGAATTGGAGGAGGCCAGCAGCTGGTCACCATGCCGAAGGGTCAGGTTGGCCTGGGGCTCACTGTCCACAGAGCAATGGATGATGGCTCTCTGGCCCCTCTGTGTTTCCAGAAAGGAGGTAAGCACAGGGACCCTGGGTGGATCTGCACAGATTAGAGACGAGAGCTGAGTGAGAACATCTGGCCTGGTCCAGGGGCCCAGAGGAAGGCACAGCACTCGGGGAAGGATGGTGGCTAACATCCCATCACACCTCCTCCAGGAAGCTTTACAGGACTTCTCTTAAGAGAGTTACTGGCTTCCCTACCCCTAACCTTTCTAGGGCTTGGAAGCCCCATGGCGCATGCCTCCTACAGGGTCCCCAAGATGCCTTTACATTTATGAAGGATTATGACGGCCATTTAAAAAGAACATCATATTGGAGAGAAGATACACACACACACACACACACAATATGTGGGTAGTTTAATAGCTTAAAGCTGCACCAAGACTTTTGGGACACCCTCTATATCTACATACTTTTTCATATAATATTTTGTTTTTCCACAGAAATTCTGTGAGGCAGGAAATTGAAGTATTTTTAACCCCTTTCACCTATGGAAACAGCCTGAGAAGATAAGTGTTTTTCTCAAGGCTACACCACTGTTGGATCACAGAATCACAGAATTTCACCATTGGAAGTCACCCTAGGAACAATGCTATGATGGGGTAGGATGGGGAAGGTGAGGGTGGTACTAGGGAGAAAAACTGTTCAGAAAGTGCAGAAGGCCCAGGAATCAGGCTGAGTGAAGCTATTGATCTGCAGTCATCAATCTGGAGGCCAAAAGAGCTTACAAAGAGCAAGCTCCTCTCATTTAACAGATGGAGAAAGTGACCCCCAGAGATAAGTGACATTCCCAAGGCCACACAGCCGCTCTGGAAGAGACAGAGCGGGCCTGGTTTTCCTGACACCAAGCCCAGGGCTGTCTCCACAACACAGGGCTGCTGCCAGGAAGAGGGAGCAGGTCAGAGCACACGCCTCAGCTGCCAAAGGGCCCGCCCCACCACCCCTCCCAGCCCCCAACTCCTATCCGGGATGAGGGCCACTCACAGGTGACCACGAGGCTGACCGGCGGGGAGGCCTGGACGCCCTTGGAATTCTGCACCTGGCAGAAGTAGAAGCCGGTGTGGGCGCTGCTGACCCGAGCATACACCAGGGCCTGGGCCGCCAAGCCCTCGATCCACGCATTGTTCTTGAACCAGCTGTAGGAGATGTTCTGCTGCTCCCCCCCAGGCAGGGCACAGGCGAGAGTCACCGCCTGCCCTTCCCGGATGATCCCAGGTGGCTGCACTCGGATCAGAGGATCTAAGGGGACAGGAGGGGACAGGATGAGGGAGGGAAGGGGCCAGGCAGGATCTCTGAGGCCGAGAGCTCCCCAGGGGCAGGGCCTGTGTCTGTCCCATAAATCCAGGGGCTCTACGAGAGCAGGGACCGAGGATCTGTGAGGCACTGAGTCCAAGCAACAGGACCTCCACCCCAGCCGCTGCTTCCCCACCCTTAATTAGAGCCTCTGACAAACCCAGTTCTATGCTCCGCCAGGGCTGAACTTTGTGGCCTGAGCTCCAAGGATATTCAATTGCCCCAGTTTTTTAGGGTCTGGTGGAAATTGATCCAATCTTATAATTCAATCTAGTGCATGCCAGGGCATATTCTCAAAGAGCTTTAATTTCAATGTAATTCAATAACGACTTTGTTGTTCAGTCATTTTTCAGTCATTTCCAACTCTCATTTGGGGTTTTCTTGGATATTGGATATACTGGTTACTGAATACTAGCGTGGTTTGTCATTTCCTCCTTCATCTCATTTTACAGACAAGGAAACCGAGGCAAATGGGTTAAGGGATTTGCCCAGGGTTTCACAGCTAGTGAGTGTCTGAGGCCAGATTTGAACTCACGAAGATGAGTCTTCCCAACTCCCTGTGCACTATGGCGCCCCCTAGAGGGTCCAATAACTACTTATTAAGCTCTGATTCTATGCCAATCTCCCTTCTAAGTGCTGGGAATACTAAGAGGTCAAAGAAACAGCCCTTGCCTTCAAGGAGTCTTCCTAGTTAAGCGGCAAGAGCAGGATTTGAAACCTGGTCTAACCTGAGTTCAAATCTGCTCTTCTCCATCAGTCCTAAGCCCCCTACATGCCCCCCAGTGGCCCAGACGGTGCTCTGCACTCAGTAGGCAAAGGATCAATGCTTGTTAAATTAATTAAAATCTAACCCTTACCCCACCACATAGTCTGGGCCCCTTGATGGAAACCTCCCACAAGCCTCTCCCACCTCACCAGGTACCAGCACCAGCTGACTCTCAAGGCTCTCACCTGCTGCAGTTCTCCCTACCTCCTGGCCCAAGGACCAGTTCTTAGCTCATTGGCAAGGCTGAGGTGACAGAAAGGGACTGAGATCCCAGAATGTTTACTCCCGCCCAGAAGAGGGAACAGATTCCACCCATTTCCCAGGTCAGCCCAAGGTGGCTCACCCACAGCAGGTCCTATCAGAGAAGGATTTTCCAGAATCCAAGGGGACCACGCTTCATAATATCAAAAGCACTGGTTAGAGGAACTCACCAAAGATGGGGACAGTGATGGGGCCAGCTGCCCCGGTGCCCACCGCATTGTCTGCCTCACAGGAGTAGCTCCCGTGGTCCTCCCATGTGGCCTTGCTCACCTGGAGCACTTTTTGATTGGCATTGTAGAGTACACCATCTTTAAACCACCTGAAGGCAGTGGGCTCAGGATGGCTGCCATTGATGTGACAGGTGAGGGCAAAGGAATCTCCCAGGTGGATGTTCTGCTGGGAGGGCCTTAGAGAGACCTCCACTCCTCTGGGGGCATCTAGAAAGAAAGAAGAGAATGACTAAGGAGCAGCGTCCATCAGATGGAGAGGACAGTTAGTGAGGTTGGTGGAGCTGAGAGCTTCACTTCTTCTCCTCACTCGGTAACCCATGCCCCTCTTCTTTATGCAAATTCCCTTCTTCCAGAAAGCTCTCCACGATTAACCCAGACTTCGATTGTGCCTTTGCTCTGGGTCCCTCAGTTCTCTCTTTTAATCTTACTGAATCCTAAAAATGACTGCTGTACCCCTCTTGCTCAATAGGTCCATAGTGGGCTCCCAGAGTGAACCACCTGAGGGCAGAGTCAACCCATGCTGCCACGGGTCTGCACCACAGCGGCCTTGCCTGCAACAGCCCAGCGGATGTGGGAATATTGGGAGAGGGAGAGGTCATTGGTTCTCTCAGCCCTCCTCCCAGATGAACCAGGGTCCTGACCTGCAGCAACACTAAAGCACCTTCCCTCCTCTCCTCTACCCATCTTTTCCCTGTTACATAGGCTGCTCTTGAACAGGTCCAGCTGCCAATCCACTCCTCCAAGAAGCTTTCCCAGATGATCCCTGCTCACGCAGAACTCTCCCTCTTCTGGACTCCTGTTTCCACTTAAGAGCACTTAATTCTAAGCAATCCCATTTTGTTCTCTGTTTCATGGATGAATCAGTCATCTTCTGGTGAGGAAGTCATTCAAGATCTGTTTAGAAGTACTATGTAGGATTTCATTTCAAATCTGTGAAAAGAGCTAATTTTGTTGCTCAGTTGTGCCCATCTCTTCACGACCCAATTTTGGAGGTTTTCTTGGGGAAGATACTGGAGTGGTTTGCCTTTCTTTCTTTAGCTCATTTGACAGATGAGGAAATGAGGCAAACAGGGTTAAGTGACTTATCCAGGACCACACAGCTAGTAAGTTTCTGAGGCTGGATTTGAACTCATGAAGAGGTGTCTTCCTGATTCCAAGCCCAGTACTCTATTCATCGTGCCATAAAAGTCCCTTTAAAACAGCATTCTGCATCCAGAGTAAAGTAATTGGATGTGCTAAGAGCCTATTTAATGGTTTTCTTTAATAGTATAAGGCTGGTATCATTGGAGGGGAGAAGAGAGAGCAAAAAGCATTATAGTAATGTCACTGTCCACGGTGATACACATTACATGTTTTCAGACTTTTCTCAATGATTGAACCATTGTACTGACTTTTTTTTCCTCTCTCTAAAAAATATTATTTATCATACGGGATGACTCTCTGGAGGGGGAAAAAGATAACTAGGGTTATGGAAGAAACAGAAAATATCAATTAAAAAATATTTTTTAAAATAGTGTTTGAATTGGAAAACCCTTCTCTGATTGGAAAAGGCTCTTTATGGGATTTTTAGGAGGGTGGGTTTTGGGGCAGTTATATTGTTTTGTTTTGTTGCTGTATAATTTTTCTATTTCTCTTGTACCCTGAGAAAAATGATGGCAAGGGCAGAGCAGAGCGCCCAGAAGAGCAGAGTGACCCTCAAAAAGCTGCAAACAAGGAGTCAGATAAATAATAAGCAGGGGAGTGGGAGGTCTAGAACAGCCTCCTTCTGACCCTGAGGAAGTCCCTCAGAGACTGTGGATAGCTCAGTATGCCAGCAAAGGGTTAGGGTGGGTCCCAAGGAAGGGTGAGGGAAAGCACTCTTAGATGAGGCAATGACTGGCAACACTTAAGGGTCGGTGAGAAAGGTACCAAACTGTACCTAGGTGTTTAATGGTTCTTTAAATCTTGCCTCCAATTGTATGTCACTGATCTGAATGTAATAATAAGTAATTCAAGTAAATGTTATGCTAGGCTGGTTTTTTAAAACTGCCTTTCCAATCTCCTAGTAAAAGGGTAACTGAGTGCAAAATTGTGCACAATTCCCTTTTAAGCCATTTTCTTCATCTAAACTATTCAAGCACAAGGCAGTGGCCCAGGTACCACAATCCACCCCTTCCCCCCTTCCTACCTCCCCCAACTGGCAGCTCCCAAAATACAGATAAAATGCCTAGGAGGCAATAACAGTGTCGGGAAGGCTAGTTCTGTACCTTACAGAAAACCTAGAGTTCCACAAGTAGACTGTGGCCTCCCTGAGGGTAGAGACCTGGTCTTTATTTCAAAAAAAAAAATTGACTCATTTGTCTTTAAGATTAAGTTTAAATTACTTATCTCCACTTGGCTTACTTTACCTCTATCTATAGAACTAACCTCTTTTTTTGTTAGTTAATAAATAGTTCACTAAATTTAGTTAATTTAATTTTTTAGTTAACCAAAGTTTTTTTTTATTCAAATTCAGCAGCAATAGGAAAAGCCTTTTTTTTTTTTTTACTGTTTTTTAAGCAAGGCAAGATCGGTTCTTTATCTTCCACCACCTGCCCCACCCGAGGAAAGATGTATACCATCAACCTTGAAAGGCTTAGCTGTGCTTGGGTCTGCAGTTTACATTAGTCTTAGAGGTGATAGAATCTTTTTTCCAGTAAGGGGATGGCAATCCCAGAGATATTTATCTAGGGAGACATAGGAATAAAGGAACACATAAAGCCTAAGGGACACCAAAGCAGAGCCCCTAGGACACTGAAAGAGGGTTGACCTGGAGGCTGACAGGTCGGGCATCGGACGTCACTCACATTGCACCTGAAGGTGGATCTGCCCGTGGCTTTTCTTCCCGGCAGCAGAGAACTGGCAAGTCAGCATCCGGCCATGGTCACGCCAGGATAAGGCAATTCTGAGGCTTTGTTGGTAGGTGACACCAGTGGGCGCCAGTACCTGGAGCTGGCTGGTATTGGAGTGGACAGGATCCTGACCATGCCAGGAGAGGGGCGTCCCATCCTCGGGACACACGTAGGGGGTCGAACAGTTGAAGATGACTTGTGTGCCTTCCCGAAGATGAGCAGGGGAGGCAATGGTAGGGATGCTGGGTTCGTCTGGGGTGGAAATGGAACATGGAGGGATGAGTTCACCCCTGTCCCCCTCTCCCACCCCCTGAAAAATAATTCCCACTCAGGAAGTAGAAAAGACAGGGTCAGTGTCTCAGAAGGAAAAGTAGACAGAGGCCTCCTCCCCATATCTCCAGTTCCTGAATAGCTCTAGACCTTTTTCTGAAACCTCACACATCTCTCTGCCACCTCTGAACTGAATTCTAGCCCACCAGAAGGAAGGAGAAGGCTGGAAAATGAAAATGAAGATAAGAATAAGAATGGAGTGGGGCCAGGAGTTGAGTCATGGGGATGGAATCTTGGAATGAACCTGGGTTGTTTTATTTTAGGAAGGATGTTGACAAGCTGGAACCTGTCCAGAAAAGGGTGATGAGTATGGTGAAGGGACTGGAGATAACGTCATCTTAGGAGCCATGAAGGAGTCACAGTAGAAGCCATTGGGGATATTTATACTGGAGAAGACTTATGGGAGACATGATGGTCACCTTGTGCATGCGGGACTGGATGGGCTCTGCTGGACAGAACTAGGAACAGTGAGCATATGTTTCAGAAAGGCAGATTTCCTCTAGATACAAAGATAAGTTACCTAACAATGAGAGTCACCTTAAAGTGAAATAGAAGAAGGAGAAGGAGGAGAAGAAAAAGAACGAAGAAGGAGGAGGAGGAGGGAGGAGGAGGAGAGGAAGAAAGAGAAGAGGAAGAAGATGAAGAAGAAGAAGAAGATGAAGAAGAAGAAGATGAAGAAGAAGAAGATGAAGAAGAAGAAGAAGAAGAAGAAGATGAAGAAGAAGAAGAAGAGGAAGAAGAAGAAGAAGAAGAAGAGGAAGAAGAAGAAGAAGCCAAAGTTTATAAGGGATTTAAGGATTTCAAAGTTTTTTAATCTGTGTTATTTCATTTGGTCCTCACAACAATCCTGGACAGTAGGTGCTATTATTATCCCCATTTTACAAATGAGAAAAATGAGGCAGAGAAAAGTTAAGTGACTTGCCCATGGTCACACAGCTAGCAAATGTGGATTCCTCCTCACTGGAGCTCATCAATAAAAGGCTGGGTAACCACTTTGTCACAAATGTTTAAGTGATGATCCTCATTTCTGTAGGAGTTGAACTAGATAGGCTTTTGAGGTCCGTCCTAACTTGGAAATTTTGCAATTTTGACTTTAGGAGTAGAGATGAAGAATCAACGAAAGGAGGAATGCAAAGGAACATGTGGAGTTTGGGGATCAGTGAATGCAAGGACTTCTTAAAACTTTGAGTTATCCAAATGTGTAATGGAATGTCATGATAACTAATGAGGTCTTGATACATTGTTTAGTCATGTCCAATTCTTCATGATCCCATGGACCATAGCACACCAATACTGCCCATGGGGTTTTCTTGCAAAGATACTGGAGTGGTTTGCCATTTCCTTCTCCAGTGGATTTAGGCCAACAGAGGTTAAGTGACTTGACCAGGGTCACACAGCTAGTGAGAGTCTGAGGCAGGATTTGAACTCAGATCTTCCTGACTCCAGGCCCGGTGCTCTATCTACTGAGCCACCCAGTTGTTTCCTTATCAGTAATGGTCTTTAAACAGTGTCTGAATGACTCATCAGGGATGCTAGGGGTGGTAAAGATGAATTCTTGGTCAGGAATGGGTTGGATTAGATGATGTCTGAAGTCCCTTCTAAATCTAAAATTCTTGTGGTTCTATGAGGGAAAATAGATAAGGGGATGGGGGGGTGAATAAAGGAGGGGGGCAGGGATAGAGGATGGCTCCACCCTCTCCAGTCTCACCAGTAACCTTCACTGCAGTGCTCTTCTTGGCAGACCAGCTGTCCGCTCCAACGATCTCGAATCGAAAGGTGTAGTCCCCATTGTCATCAGGACTGAGCTTCCGTATGAGAAGATTGCAGGTCTTCTGCTCAGGGTCCCCCAGCAGCTGAGTCCGGCCTTGGAAACTCTTCCCCACCAGGGTTGGGTTTTGGGAATGGCTTACCACCACCTTTTTGTCAGCGTCTGAGTAGCCACGGTACCAGATGGCAATGATGCCTTGATTTGTTTTCACATCTCTAGGGAAGCTAAAAGTGCAGGGGATGACCAGACAGGAGCCACTGACACCCTGAACATTTTCAGGGCTGGTCACCTCCCAGGAACTCAGGCCTGAGGAGATAGAAGAGGGAAAAGATAAGGGCAGGGGGGAGAAAAGTCACTGACTTCCTGAATAGCCTTAGGATCACCTCTAAGGAACCCAGGCCTGATGGCAAAGAATCAATCAGTCTGATCCTTTCTTCCCCTACCTGCATTTCAAGTTTGAATTCAAACAAGGTGGATGACCCCACAGGCTAAGTCTTGAGCGAAAGCATAGGGGACACCTGCCTCCCTCCTTTGCACCAGTCTGAGAAATAAGGCTCTCTAATTCAAGAAATTGGGAGATTTTTTCCCTAATGCAGAGATTTAGGGGAAAATAAATGTATAATTCATGGTAACCTCCTCCCCAGGCCCATACTCCTTAGTTTTCCATTGGAATGTAAGCTCCACAAGGGCAAGGAATGTGTGTGTGCCATGAGGACCAAATGAGACTTTGCATTTGAAAGCACTTAGCAAAGTCCAAGATGCAAACAGGTGGGGATTGGGGGAAGGAGAGGTTTGGACTTTCTCTAAAAGTGAGGGGGTCAGAAAATAAGGCAGTGACCCCCTTGGGATTTGGCATACCTTGATGAAAGGTGGACCCAAGGAGAAGCAGCCAGCTCAAAAACAACATGGCCAGGTCCAGCAGGGTTCCTGGGAGACAGAAAGAAGAGAGCTGGAAGTAAAGGCCGTTCAGGAAGGGGTTCACTGCCTCTTGCCTTGAGGATGTGGTGAAGGCAAGTGATTTGTAAACCTGAAAGCACTTTAGAAAGGTAGGTTGTTAATATGACGGTCACCACCTCAAGCACCATCACCACCACCATCATTGTCCATTGGCAGCCTGGTGTGGCGAGTGGGTAGAAAGTCTTCTAAGATCTGGCAGACCCCATCCTAGAGACAGGGACTGAATGAAGAGCCAGCAGCCAAGTTCCCAGCTCAATGACTACTTGGCCCTGGAACATTCTCAGATCCCCACTTGCCCCTCCTCATGTCTTCCTTTGACACTATACTTCCTCTTTCTCAAGGGTCCTTTCCTGGTCACTCACTTTCCCGGGCAGAAGGTACCTAGCGCGAGATGTTTTAGCTCTCTTCAGTCATGTCTGGTTCTTCATGACCCCATTTGGGGTTTTCTTGGCAGAGATACTGGACTGGCTTGCCGTTTCCTTCTCCAACTCATCTTACAGATGAGGAAACTGAGGCAAACAGGGTTAAGTGGCTTACCCAGGATCACACAGCTGGTAAGTGGCTGAGGCTGGATTTAAACTCAGGAAGAGGAGTCTTCCTGACTCCAGACCCCGCTCACTGTCCAGCTAACTGCCCTGGTACAAAGTAGGTGCTTAATAAATCACAGAATTGAGAGCTGAAAGGCACCTTAGTGGTCACTTAATCCAACTAATGCACCAAAGGAATCCCCACTATAATATGACTGATTGATTGATTGCCACAGATTTTGTTGTCAGATTTGTGAGTTGTCACCCTGGCAGGTAGAAAGAATGGGGTCCTGAGGGTGTAGAATATAGGACAGAGCAAGGCTGGTCCCTATACCAGGGACAAGCCCTGGGAGGTTGAGGTTTTAGCAGCTGGAGAGCCACACAGCGTTCCTGGACTGTAGTGCCCTTGAGTAACTTCTCTGGTCCTCAGTCTCCACATCTATGCAATGGAAATAATAACCCCTTCCCTGACCACCTCCAGAGGAGTCTAGGAGGATGCAGTGAGACAATGGACATTCACTCTGCTCACTTTACACGTTTTCTTCAGCTGTCCACCAACCCTGGAACGCTCTCACTCCTCATGTCCTGCTTCCCTGACTTCCTTCGAGTCCCAACTCAAATCCCATCTTCTACAGGAATCTTTTCCCAAGCCCTCTTAATTCCAGGTAAGACCCTTCAGAAAGTAAAGAGTAGTAACCAAGTAGAAGATCTGAGTCTCCTCTGGAACCTACAGTTGGAGGCAGGGGGTGGGAAAAGGTGGAACCATCGTATCATAGATTAAGAGCTGAGAACAACCTCAGGGGCCTTCCTCCCTCATTTCATGCATGAAGCCCATGGAGTGAGTTACTCAGAATCACACAAATAGCAGATGTCAGAGGTGGGTTTTCAACTCAAGTCTTCCTGACCCAAGGTCCAGCACTCTACCCACTACTCCATGCTGACTCCATCATCTCACCTGACCCTGACAACTCCCCCCGTGAAATAATTAACAAGGGGAATTCATGTAGGATGGTTAGATCAATTCCTATTCCCATTTGATAGATGAGCCTGAAGCTCAGAGGGATTACCAGAGCCCAGATCATGTAGCATCCTAGGATGGGGAGGGAGGATGCTAAAAGCCACATCAAGGAAGTGGAGGGAAATAGAGAAAGTAGAGGAAAGAAGGAACCAGGGGGATACACGGCACATTGGGCAGACTTCATAGTTTTGCCCAGGGCCTGGAACCAAGTGCTGACTCAGCAAAGGGGAAGGGAGGATGGAAATAAAGATAGAAACCTGGTGTCAACTTCCCTATGTCTCATGGGAAAAGAAAACTGAAAGTGTCCATCTCTTGTGGTTCCCCAAGAGGACTGCAAAGAAGAATCAGTGGGCGAGAGCCTAGGGAGACAGCATGACCTTGGGTGTGGAATCACAAAAACTAATTTTGAAAGTTGGCTCTTCTTTATCGGTGTTCAGTCATTTTTTCAGTAGTATCCAAATCTTCATAACCTCGTTTGGGGTTTTCTTAGCAAAGATACTAGAGTGGTTTGCCATTTCCTTTTCCAGTTCATGTTACAAATGAGGAAACTGAGGCTAACAGGGTTGGGTGATTTGCCAAGGGTGACAAAGCTACTCAGTGTCTGAGGCTGGATTTGAACTCAGGGAGATGAGTCTTCTGGACCTCTGCGCACTATGGCACCACCTAGCTGCCCCTTGGCTCTGCTACTAACCACCAGTCCATAGGCTCCTAGTATCCTGGAGCTGGATCTGGAGGGAACCACAGAAGTCATCTAGTTCAACTGGATTCAAACCCAAGTCCTGCTCTGGAACCAGAGAACTATTCAAAGTTCCACACTGACATTCAAGCCAACAAATATTTATTAAATGACTCCTATAAGAAAGGCACTGTGCTAGATGCGGAATGTGCAGAGACAAACCAAAATAAAACCAACAAAAAAGTACCTGCCCTCAAGGAGCTTACATTCCACTGGGAGAATACCAAATGTGAACAGGTAGAAATTCATGATCATTTGAGAAGCAATTAGACTTCCCACACAGCGCTGTAGACAGAGCAACAGGCTTGGAGTCAGATAGACCTGGGTTCAAATCTGACCTCTGACGTTTACTGTCAGCTGGGCGACCCTGGACAAGTCACTTAACTTCAGTTTCCTCACATGTAAAATGGGGATAATGATAGCACCAACATCCCAGGAATGGAGTGAATCTCAGATGGAGTAATATTTGTAAACACTTAGAACAGTGCCTGGTACATAGTAGACACTTAATGCCTTCTCCCACAGGCTTGAGACATGTGATGAAATGCCAAGAACTGCAAGTAGTCTAACTGGTTAAAACATTAAGTCATGTGCAATAAGCCTAGATAAAAATTAGTCTAGATCTGGACTGTGAAGGGTTTTAACTGACAAAGCTAAAGAGCTCCTATTTAATTATAGAGGTAATAGGGAGTCATTGAAGATTCTTGAGCCAGGGAGTGACATGGTCAGACTTGAGTTTCAGGAAGATGATTTTGGGAGCCTTGTGTAGAACAGCCTGGAAAGAGGAGAGACGAGAAGTTGAGAAAACAACTGGGAGGATTTTGGAATAGTCCATGCAAGAGGTGATGGGCAAAGCACCTCACCTCCCTAGACCTCAGTTTACTTATCTATAAAATCAAGAGGTGAGACTACTGATGTGTGAGCTCCCTTCTGTTCTAAATCCTATGATTCAGGACCTCTAAGGACCATAAAGCTAATGAAGAAAGGTCAAAGATAGGACTCACAATATCTAGCACATAGTAAGAATCTAGTTGATCAATTGATTAAATGAGTAAAGAGATGAATCCAAGAAGCACCTATTTAGTGCTTAACAAATGCTTAGTCATTGATTGGAGGATTGATTGAATGAATGAATGAAGAAACGTATCAATATTTGCATCCCCAGAATCTAACACATAGTAGGCACTTGAATGAATGAGAGAATGAATGTATTCTTTCCATTCCTGTACTTTGCGCAGTGACTGGCACAGAGTAAGTGCTTAATAAATATTTATTAAATGAGACAAGCAGGGATCCAGCTAAGCAGTCTAGGCAGTTTGGGTGGTACTCATGTCATGGCAGGACAGAAGGCTCCTGCCGTGTCTGGGCACAGAGACAAAAATCAGAGACTACCAGCACTAGAAGAGATGTTCATTGGGAGGGGGAAGGAAACAGTAGAAGGTGGACACCAGCCAAAGACAAGCATGAGCTTGACTGATTCAAACATGTCTCAGCATATGGAGCTGTTCAGTCGTTTTTTCAGTCCTGTTTGATTCTTCGTGATCCCATTTGAGGTTTTCTTCAGGAATTATAAGGGCTGCCTTAAACTCAGTGAGGCAATGAAAGGATATTATGCTGGACTTGGAGTCTGGAGAACTTGGATTCCAATACCACCTAACACTCAGAAGCCGTGGGAGCTCTGAGACCCAGATTCCTCATCTGTAAAGTAAAGGGATTGGGATCCGTGACCTCCCACTTCCTTCCAGCTTGAAATTAAAGATCCTACAATCTTTTGACAATTTGTCCTGGTCATAAAGTTACAAATCAGAGGCAGAATTTGAGCCCAGATCGTCTTGAGCAGCAGAGGGCTTGCCACAGGGCACCAACATTTAGAAGACGTCAGCATTCAGGATGCATGCTCCTTCCTTAGTAATCATCAAAGTCATCAAAGCCACTCATTCTCCTTCCCATTCAATCAAATTTGTCCCAATTACTTCCTACATTCTTTTCATTTCTTGAATCACAAAGTTAAGCTGAAAGTGTTAACCTTACACTACTCTGGACACTTGGTGACAGTCTACAGGAAGATGGTAGCCCTCCCTTCTAAACTATATCTCCTGCGGCACCTGTGCTCTCAATTCTTTCCCATATTCTCAGTATTCTCTGATCCAGACCCCCATTCTCACTCATCAGGAAAGTTGGACTCTGTCCTCTGCCCTAGTTAGGCCTTACTAGGAGTAGTTTGTTCAGTTTGGGTGCCACCATTTAAAAAGGAAATTGATGAGCCAAAGAGCATCCAGAGAAGGGTGACCAGCATGATGAAGGACCGAGAGTTCAGGCCACATATGGATCAGCTGAAAGAACTGGATATGCATACCCTGGAGAGGGCACATGGTGCTGCCTTCAAATATTAGAAGGTTGCCATATGCAAATGGGAATGAACTGCCCGGACAGGTAAGGAGTACCCCTCCTTCGAGGAGCAGAGCCTGAGTGACCTCTTATTAGACAGGATAGGGTGGGGACTCCTTCTGTGTATAGGTTGAGCTGAATGGCTGCTGAGGCCCTCTAACTCTCAAATGGAATTGAAGGCCATGGCACCTGGATGTGGGAAATATACAAGTGCATGAAGCCACATCTCATAGGCAGCTGTGGATGCATCTTCCTCCTCCACTTAAAGCCAAATATAAAAGTATTTTCTCTGGCCACAAGG